CTAGCTCTAAGTACTCTAATCGCGTCATTTATATATTTATTCACAGCTGAGTGGTTATTAGCTTCTTTCATGTTACTATGCCTAGTTTTAATAGTGATATATATACCATAATCTGATCCAAAAATTAAATTATAGCCTTGTTCGAGGCCAATAAAATAAAATGCAGGTAGAATTTCACCAATATCATTTACTAAATCTTGCTCCTCAAGATTTCTAAAATTAAGTTCCTGACAAACTTTCCATTTGTTATTATTTTTAAGTATTTGAAACCATTTTTCACAGACTGGTAAAATGTTTTTTAATGTATTTCTTTGATAGTTGATGTAAATAGAGTTTTATTTTGCCTAAGGTCAAATTTATTAAAAGCTTCTCAAAGTAAATTATCAATATCAATATAATCGTAATGATAGTTTTTTGAACTCAAAAGCATAAGGGAAGAATTTGTTTTTCTGAATGGATGAGATAAAATCTTCAAAAATATTGTACAAATAAATTCTTTTTGTGATTCTTTTATGGTTGGTTTTGGGTAAGACATTGTATTGATATTTGATGAGAACTTACAAGATTTTATGTATTTAAATAGTTTTAAGATTAATCATAATTTTAACCTTTTATATAAAAGATTCATTATGAATAGTGTAACAAATTTCTTGTAGTAGAAACACAATTCTCATAAATGTCATGGTATTTTATTTTATGGAATCTTTGTCTTAATCTAACAATAAATCAATTATTATACAGGTTCTAATCTTAATTATGACCATTTTTAGCTAATAGGTCTTAAAAATTCACAAATTTGGTAAGTTCATACCTAAAAAAGGTAATTAAATTTTACGAAAGAATTGATTTATTTCCTTTTTAAAATATATATTTTTTTTCATTCAATTTCTTATCATTAAAACATTATTCGTAACAATGTTAAAATATTTATTTAATTAAAGTTATTTTAGTTTGCTAATCCTTTGTTTAAAAAAAACATAATGGTTGAATTTATAGTAGTATTAAATATAATGATGATATTCAACAAAGAAAATCACTTCCTTTTTTCAAACCTAACATTCTAATTCAATAATAACAACCCTAAATCCTTCTTTCTGTATCAACATTTTATTTTAAAATGTATAACAAAAGTTATTTCATGATTTTTCTAAGACATTTCTAAAATAATAATTTAACTTATTAATATTTATTATTATTATCACTGGTCGATGTTGAATGTAGTAATATTAGTTGTAAGGCTTTTTATGATATTAGCCGCAATTTATACTATGCCTTAAATAATCTTTAACTGCGCTAAATATCATACATGTTAAACATGTAATATATGTATCATTTAGTCGACTTTATAATACATGTATTGAATAGTTTACCTTTTAACATAAATATTATATAGTCTACTTTTCATTACTTATATTATTTTCATTATATATACTTATTGAAAGGCGTAGTATAATATTAGTTAACAATTTTATATAAATAGACCTATAAGTTGATCTAGAGTTAACAGAGTTTTATTCAGAGATTGAGATAAGTTTTGGGAATAGACTTATAACTTTACAAGTTAATAAAGTTACTATTTTATACTTTCAATCTTCTTCTTGTCTTTATCATAGGATTGATCATGATAATCTACTATACAAGTGAATCGTGATAATAAATTATTTTGTTTATTAATCGTTAATTTCTCTTAGAAAAGACCTTTGAGATAATTGAGTTATTAAGTTTCTTAGTTTTGTTAGCTTGGTTTGAAACGATTCCAGGTTTAATAGTTTGGTGATTCTTGCCAAAAGAAAGATTTTTGAAAGTTAAATTGTGAATGAATTTAGATTTATATTACAAACTTCAAGAAGCATATATTAAACAATATAATAAAAGACAAATGACCTTATCAACTGATTATACCTGTTTAAGTTATCACCCGATATTCCTAAGAATTTTAGAAATTTTTGGAATTAAATTAGCGTAGAGTTTGGAACAATTATATTTACTAGAAAAACTATATCATTATTTGACCAATTATTAGAAAAACTTGCCACTCTAATCTTTCTTGAATAACTGCAACTTGATATAACTACAGCAGCATATCAAAAACCACTGCAAATTAAAGTTGAAAAATTATTATACAGCTTAACTTTTATTAATCCTAAAATACTTGGACCAAATTCAGAATTTGTAACTTCAAGCATAATTAAAGTGGCAAAAGAATCGAACTTCTTCAAAGAACTAGTCGAAACTCAATTTGATCCAATAGCACTGTTAAAAATAAGTTCTACTCTAACTCTAATCAACATCATGACAGGAAAAGATAAAAGTAACAATCAACAAGGCGGATCAAGATCACCTAAATAAGGACAATATAGTGATCCTAAGGATGAATGGAGAGACAAAAATGAAGGCTATGAACTAGAGAATAATGAAGCATTAGACAATAATAGTATCACAGCAATTATTAAGCAAATGAGTGACTCTTTTAAAGAAATTGCTAAAGAAATTAGAGACGCTCGATTACAAGCATTTTCAAAAGAAACTAATATTATACCAGTACAACCATTTTGGAAAAATGATAGTAAAGACTCAGAGGAATGGCTTAAGCATTTTGAAACAGCTGCAATAGTAAATAATTGGATACCGTAGCATTGTTGCAGAATATCTAAGAGAACCAGTAGCATTATTGTATGATAATATAGTAGTAACTGTTCGCTATTGGAATATGTAAGGACAAACTAATACAAGTTTTGTCCCTATGTTTAGAGCTCACTTTACTATAGCTAGGCAAAAGAATAAATGGCATTACGAGTTGTTTAGCATCAAACAAATGACAAATAAAAGCATAGATACTTATAGCATTAAATTTAACAACCTAAAAGATTAGTTAACCCAGGTGACCATTTACCAGATGACTATGAAATTAGACTATTTTTAAATAGACTAAAACCTAATATTACAGCAAGAGTCACAATGGCAGATCCTGGTAATCTAAGAGCAGCTATTAATGAAGCTAGAGCAACTGAAGCTAGAACATATTACATAAGAGAATCTCTACAAGCTACAAATAATAATGCAATTGAAGCTTTGATGAAACAAATGGAACAACTCTCTCTTAACTATGCAAATATTATTAATGTATTTGCAGCACAAAATGGAACTCCAAGAACTACGAATGTTCTACCTAAAAATACAAATGCCATAAGAAATAATAATTATAGAAAACCTTTTAACAAAAGCCAAATAGTTTGTTGGTGATGTAAGAAAAAAGACTATTATTCTAGGGAATATTTATCTGAAAGACCTTCTAAATCGAAATAAAAAGATGCCAATTTAATTGAAGTTTTCACTGATGATGAAGGGGAAGAAAAAATGTCTGAAGTATATGCAGAAGAAAGGTCTCGACCATATACTACTGATAGAAAGAATACAAAAATATGATAAAGGAAAATGACCAGAACCTCTGAGTCAAATAAAGAAATGAATCTTAGGACTTGTGTCATTAACCCAATCGAAATGGAAGTAGAATCTACCCCTAAACAAAAACCAGTTAAAAGAGCACGAAATCTTTTCAAAGTTGATAATCTTACACTATATAATATAGCTGATTATATTTTATCAAAGCAATCCTCTGCAACCTTAGGACAGTGGTTACAAATATCAGCTCAAAGAAGGAATTTAGCAAATGCTTTAAGATGTCATCTTGTATCGATACCTAGTGTCAATTTTTTAGAATTTGTAGATGATGAACATGAAAGGAAAATAACTTCTTATAAAGCATATATCAGGATTAAAAATAACCCAATTGAAGCTATAATTGATACAGAAGCAGCAGTCAGTATTATTACCAACAAATTAGCTAAAAAGTTGGGACTTAACATTGATAAACCTTCTAAATTAATTGTGACTATAGTAAATAGAAGTTATGTAAGAGCTTTAGAATAAATTACTGAAGTAAGAATAACCATACAATACGTATCAGTCCCAGTAGAACTTCAAGTGATTGAATCTCTACAGGATACATTATTATTAGGAGTAGACTGGTGTAGAAAAACCAAAATGAACCTTGACTTTAGTACACAAACTGCTTTTATCTTATATGTTACTAAAAGAGCTACATTTAACATTCTCTTTGAAGAAGGAATGGTAAATGAAAGGGAAAATTTAGATTGAGTCTTGGATGAATACGAGGAAGAAGACTTAGATGAATATGATATATTTTTAAGCAAAGTTGAAAATAATGCTCAACTAAAATATATAATGAATATTATGTATGACCACCAGAATATTATGATGTTTCAAAAAATTAATCCATGAAAAAAAATATATAAAATGTGACAAATGCCAGACGAAAAGGTGAAATCTAATGAAACATCACTTCAAGCAGTATTAAGGGAAACACATGAAGAAATAGGCATTCCAATTAAGTTCGAAGGTATGGAGTATCTTTTTAATGATGATTTTTATAACTGTGATATATATATTACTAGAATTGTACCAAATTGGATCTTTGAACAAATTGAACCAGAAAAGCAAGGAAAATGGTGACAATTTTATTTTGAAGAATATGCAGATATAGCAGAATAAGGAGAAATAACTCCTACCTATATCAAATATGCAGATAGAATCCTAGAAAAAATTCATACAAGAATGCATAAAAATAAATATCCAAGCGTATATCTAGCTAATCTACCAAAGGAAAAACAAGAAAAACCTAAGCTACAAGTTGGACCATTAAACACCTATCAACAAAATAATTTCCAACAAATTCTTAAAGAGAATAGTGATTTATGTGCTAGAAGCCAAATAAATACAGGATGAACTGCCATTATCAAAAACTTAATAATCTTAGAGAAAGACATATCAATTGCACAAACGGCATATAGATGCAGTCCAAATAACTAACAATTTCTGCGTCAAGAAATTGAGATATAGAAAAGAAAGGAATCGTTAGAAAATCAAAGAGTCCATGGGTCTCACCAGTTGTAATTGTAGCAAAGAAAACTGGAGATAAAAGAATATGCGCTGATTATAGAAAACTGAATGTAGTCACAAAGAAGGATGCTTACCCTTACCTAGGATCGATGATATGCTAAAATCGTTCAGAACAGCAAATTGGTTCACTACTTTAGACTTAGCTAGTGACTACTGGCAAGTTAAAATGAAAGAAAAGGACAAGGAAAAGACTGCTTTTATTACTAATTTTGGGTTATATAAATTTAATGTAATACCTTTTGGATTATGCAATACCTCAGAAACCTTTCAAAAACTCATAAATTATATTCTACAATCATATGCAGCTAAATTTGTCTCAGTATATTTAGACGATATCATAATTTATTCAAAATCCTTCGAACATCACATTGATCATATTAAACAAGTCTTTCAAGTATTGAGAGAAGCTAATTTAAAGATTAAGTTGAAGAAATGTAGTTTTTGTATACCTA